AAACCTTTCCTTCAATCCAAGAGAAAAAGACCCATCAGGGCTAAAAGGTGACAGCCGCAGGCTACAGTTGGCTCTCACTGAGTCCTTTGTGACCTGCAGAGGGTATAGGAAGGAGCCACGGCCAGGACCCCTTTTGGAGGGGGATGGAACACACTCTCTCTCCTCTGAGCTTTAGCCCAGCACCTCTTTGTTCAGTGCCTTTCTCACGGGTTGGACTGGGACCCAACCAGGGTAATTCTTCGCTCTGCCCAGCTCAGCTTTTGTTCCAGGTTTAGTGCCATCTTCACCGAGGGCTGCATGTTTCTTTAGGATTACTTTGGAGTCATACGTTTTGTCTTGAAAGAATGGGGGCTTTTGCTCTGTCATGAGCAGCACAGAAAGAAAAAGAGGGCAAAGGCTTTTGTTAACAAATATTTAGCTCCCAAAAGTCGAGTCACCATCATGGGGCTAACCAGACATCACCTCCTTTCAAAGCACAGCATTGACACTGCTTTCCCCTGGCCCCTTCATTTCCTCCTATTGGCTAACTCCGCTCCTGTGCTTCTGGGTCATAATCCTTACGAAGAAGGCAGGGCCACTCCTGGTCAGCCCGGACCCTTCCTCGAAGGGCACGGCTGGCTGCAGGAGAGTGCCTTCGCTTTTGAAGATCAGCAACTCCGGGACTAAGTTCCATCTATCTGACCAATAAATGCAGCTGCTGAGAAAGAAATGCGCATCTGCCTCCCCACAAACAAAAATGTTGGTAGAAAGTGTCTGCATTGGTGGGAGGTTGAGGGAGGAGTTTAAATGGTTTTGTGTCACCAGATTCTCTAAAACACAACTGGTCCAACAGTGACCGTGGCAACCCCGGGACGCTCGCGGTGTGGGTCTCAGAATACATCCCCGTGACTCCAGGGTGTCCCACAGGCTCCGTGGAGCGACTTTTCAGCTCAGTACAACCGAGAACAGCCACAGGGGAATAAATTCCTTTCTGTCCTAAAACAGTAGTCCACGGAGTAACAGTTGTGAGAAGCGGGAGGTGCTTTATCTCCTCAGTGGTGGCAGAGTGCCTCTCCTGATGGACACATTTTCATTGATTCCAGAACACGCAAGTCCTGCTTGCTGCTCCTCTCCATCCCACCCTCCTGAGGCAGGGATGTTCTTGACTGTCAGACCTGCCAGCTAACCCAGCACAGCCTTGTCACCAGCACCCCAGCCTGGCCAGGTCTCTTGGCTGAGAGAAGCAAGAGCCACCAAGGCTAACATTTGAAAACCCAGAGGGAGGGGAGAGAGCTCTGACTACTGAAGATTGACTGCACCTCAACACCACTCACCTTCCAGACACGGCGCACTGTGGCCAAATAGCAGTGCCCCTCATCAGGCTGCCCCTGAATGCCACCCACCAGTGACAGGGAGAGAGAGAGAGAGAGAGAGAGAGAGAGAGAGAGAGAGAGAGAGAGAGTAGAGCAGGCTGCTCCGAAATGCCCAATGCTCCTGTACCCCTCCGGACATTAGGGTGTGGAGGTCAGAACAAGGCGAATTTCAAACAGTCCTGAGTGCGTCTGATATGGCCTTTCTGCCCTGCAGCTCCTCTGCTTCAAGTCTCCTTCTCATCTGGCATCGGGACAAACTGGGGTGGGAGTTTGCAGAAATGCTACGGAATGAACCTTGGCCAGAACTAAAACTGAGTCAAATGCACCACCAATAAAAAAAATAAATAAATAAATAAAAACCCCTTAGGACCTGTGGGCTTGCAGCCAAAGCCCTGGAACTTGGTATACGTGTATCAACAAACGCAGGACTTGCCACAGCGACACAGCAGCGATCCTAGCAGAAATTTATAGCCCAGACTAGAGCGAGGCGCTGTTGCAAATGCAAAGCTTTGTTGTTTCTGTTTTTTTTTTTGTTTGGGGGGGGGGGGGGCGGGTTAGAAAAGGAAAATAAAGAAAGAGAAAGCAACAGATTTAAACGCAATCCTAACATCTCGGAAATTCTACCGTGACTCGGGTGATCCCAATGGTCTTTGAACCTTGTCGGAAAATGTCACAATAGATGTTCGAATTAAAATCCAGTAAGTTTGCCAGAAGACCGATTGTTTAAAATTGGCAGCATTCCAGACAACTTACGAGGCTGCACACTGCCCGGGGCTGAGAGAACGGCTAATTCCAGAGCAAGTTCATTATCACCTTATTGATAAAGGGGTAATTTTTAAAGCTCATGGTGTGGGTTTTGTGACTTATTAATTAAAATTTAGAGTAATTTACTAGACACAGTAGTGGCTTCTGTTACATTATTTATGCGCCGTACCATTTGTGTTTTCTCCCAGGGGCTGTTTTTAATCCCCTGGTTTCTCCTCACCTGTCTGCCCTTGAAGGCAACAGAAATCATAAAAACAGGTAAAGCTCACACTAGCCTTTTGGGAAATCACAGAATTAAGAAGGTGTCCAAGGAGGCACTCAATTAAAACTCATTCCTAGACAAGTCACATTTGCCCACGCAAATAAAGAAATGTGTGCTCACGGCAAATGGCCCGGCTTTCAGAAACCTCTTCTTCAAAATGCTGGGCTGAATTTTATGCTCTTTGATAAATAGATGGGGAGAGTCTGTCCTCGTCTTTTCTCCTTCTTTCCCACGGCATCCCTGAACAAAAGCAGAAGGCAGGGGAAAGAGGGGCGGCACTGGGGGCAGCCCCACGGGGCCAGTGTCGCCTCCTGCTCTCCTCAGGACGCGTGGATTGCTCTGAGCGCACCTGGGTGCCAGTGTGACGCTGAGGCTCCCAGGGGTGCAGGCTGGGGTGAGCTCCTCCCGCGGAGCTCTGCCCGGGCCCCAGGGAGCGACTTCCCAGCTGCGGCCCCACCTCTGCCCGCACCCAGTGCTGGCTCTCCCAGGTCTTAAGAGGCAAGAATACAGAGGTATGATGTGTCCACCCGGCACGCAAACTGTAAAAAGACTTGCAAACACTCTAACGTCTAACTCCCCGAATGTCCGGACAGGTCGCGTCTCTCCGAGCACCCCTCGTTTGGATTTAAGGGAACTTTAGTCATGTAGTTCTTGAACGTGCTGAAGAATTTGAGATCCAAAACGGAGACGAACCATATAAAAGCCACCACTCCCTGCGAGCGTGGATGCAGTCTGATGTTCACATCACTTAAAAGTTTAAACATTTCCTACCCTTGCACTTTGAGGCATCGCTTCATTTTTATAGTGAACGTGCTATTTAACATGTTTAAAAGTCATCATTTCTCGTTGGCCACAGCGGGTCTGTGGGTCTGCAGGTCTGCGGGTCTGACCTGCTGCTGGAGGGGGCCCCGGGCGCCAGGAACCAGAAAGTGAAACTGCACCTGCTGCTCGCCGCCTGGAAACACACCAGAAGCAGACAAGGCACGAAGGGGCGGAAAGCAAGCTCCTCTTGTTTTTCTCGTGTTTTCCTTCCCCTTACCACACATCCATTTCTACTTATTTATTTATTTTCACTTTTGACAACAAAAGGAAAGTAGTTCTGGTGGCACGGGGAAGAAATGTAAACATGCTAAACACCCAAGAACTGCGTTTTTGTGGGATTTGCCATTTTCTTCTAATTCCACAAATCAAGCAGATGGATAAATTCACCAAAATATCGGAGCCCCATCCACAGACACAATCTAAAGAGCTAAAGAAAACACATTCCGGTTTTTTAAACGAGGCCACAAATATGTTTAAAAAGTCTCGATTTTGAAACAACCTACACACTTCCCTGACGGTTCCATGCTAACCTTTTACTTGCGTTCGTGGGACCACTCCTGCTTTCCTAGGTCGTCTCCGTCCTTATTTTCTTAGGCTGGTTCTCCAAGCACACCCACCACAGGACTCCGCTTGACCGCGCTGTGGATTCCCTGACAGTTATTGTTACTGCTTCCACTCCAAATATTGTTTTATTTACAAAGAAAAGAGTCTTGGGGAAGAAAAGAACTATGTCTCTCTTTAAAAATGCTCCCTCTGGTTGCAAAGGAAGGAAAATAGAGTAGACAACCAACATCTCCATTCGGAAGCACCTGGATTCCTTTCTCAAGCCACAGAGGCTGAGCCCCACCAACAAGCCACCTTCTCAGAACGCGACTGACGGTCTAACCTCTTGAGGACGGACCCAGAACACAGCCCACCAGGAGCCGCCCCTCGGTGACTGTTACAGGGAGCGGGGAGAACTCTGACCAGTCCCTCAAATATCGGTCCAGGGACTTCCACGAAGCCGGCACCTCGCCCTCCTCCCCGTCCCCTCCTGCTCAGCCCGAAACCTGGGAGGGAGCCCCATGCCAGCAGGAGGGACATGTGAAATCGGGTTCAAGTCACACAACGTCCCCACCTGGGAAAGAGGTGACTCTGAGTATTTGAATTTGGGGAAACTGCTCCTGACCAGCCATAGTCACCTGTGTTTTCTTTTTCCCAAAAGAACTAACCAGAACCAGCAACTAGCAATAAATAGTATTCTCATCTATCCTGGGAAATTCGGAAACACCAGCACAAAACCCGTAAAACATCCCATCTGGTACACAAAAAATAAGATTCAATTTAAAACACTCTCGCCTCTTCACAACACACTGATTTTAAACATTAAATATTAGGTAAATATTTTTATCCCAAGACAAACTGAAAATGTTTTTTATTAAAAAACAAAGCAAAAATCATCATTTCAAAAATAGCTAACCATTTATTTGAGTTCACATTTCGGGGGAAAGACAACTTTCTACATATTTAAATGCAGAGTTAAAGAGTAGTGAACATGTATATACCCTAAATTTATCAACTATATGATTCTATGCTCCGTCTTCCCCCCGAGATCTGATTGAGAAATCAAACATTGTATTTTGAGGAGAAGGCACTAAAGTTACCTGCCGCCTCCGTGGTTTCAGTGCAGAACATTCATGCAGTGCCCGAGGGGGAGCACGCCACCCAGACCAGCTGAGCCAGGTAACCCGTCGCGCTGACGGCGGAAAGAGCAGAACCCCGTGTCCACGGCACACCCTCCGAGTGTGTGTCTCCCTTACCTACAGCGGGTTCACCAGAGCCCTGGTCGGGTTCTTTACCAGGCCGGGAAGGTTGACTCAGAAGGCAGAAGACTTTCGGTACATGCAAACCGGGTACTGCAAAAGCTAAGCGTCCACCCGGGTGTTAGTAGCTCACAGTTAGTCTCCAGCAGCCCTGCTCTCCGGCTGCACACATCTCATTAGACTAATGCATTCAGCACAGGCAGAAACTCGATTTACCATAGCTACAGCAATGAATTTCCATTACGATGACAGCTTCAACCACATCATGTCCGGAAAACCAGCCAACCGCTGGCTTTTAAAGAACACACACATTTTACATGCAGAGAACGCGAGGCATGCGTGTGTGTGTGTGTGTGTGTGTGTTTCATGTTTCCTTCCTCTCAGCAGCCCAACTAAGAGAAATGTGCAGTGTAGCTTTTTGCCGACATGAGCTGCAAGGTAATGACACTTCTGCTTCTCTGGTAGTTACGTCCTTGTAATAAACTGAATTATGTCACAATTGTCAGAAGGGGTGTTTCCAACATTTCGATTTTCATTACCCCTCCTCTGTTGCCATAGAAACCAGACTGTAACATCATCTCTTTGTCCCAGCCCTGCAGCAGTGTGGGCTAGCGCCGGGCTTACGAGATACTGGTGAGCGGAAGGAGTAAATATTTGACTTTAGACAAATAAAAGAAAAAGAAATATTCTCATGTCATCATTGTTCAGGAGAGGATGTGTGTGTGCAGAGGAGTGTGCACACACAGGTAACACCCCGTAGTCAGACGTAGTAACTCTACAGCCGCATACAACACCTTTGTCATCTCACTGAAACAGCGCCTGGACCTGGGTTCCAGGTGTGTGTGTGTAAGTGCGGAAGTGTTTCCATACCATGAACAGGGTCGGGGCCTGCCTGGGCTGGAACAGTCCTGACATAGGAAAAGGGCTGCTATGTATCCCCCATGCTCTATGGTATCGCTTGTAGCAAACCAACTTATCCTGGAAAAGTGACTTTTTCGCCTTTTTTTTTTAATAATAAAGTGGAGCATTGCCCATTTCATTCAATAACCATTCTGGACTATTGTTCCCAGGCATTTCCTACAAGAAGAAACATTCATCCAACAAACATGTGGCAACGTGGAGGTTTCCCCCTGGGGCTGAGCAACAAGCAAATTTAGCCAGGAGTGAACACCACGTAGGGCTAATTGAGGCTTAGGCCACAACTTGGACAGGTACTGAGAGTGAAAAAAATAAAATAAAATCACAACATGAGGCTTTTCTGAATCTATAGGCAGCGTCACATGAGAAAGAATAAGAAACCTCTCTCCACAAAGTATGACCATAGGAAAAAAATTAAATTTTTTTGAAGTCAAAGCATTGTATTTATTGAGCAAGAAGTAAATTCACTATTTAGTTCATTTAATTATCTAATTTTATTGTTTTGTTTTGTTTTGTGTGGGAAAAGGCAAGTTTGGTAGTTTTTCATTTTGGTCATTGAATATAAGTTGATTTCATTAAAGGAGGAGGAGAGAGAGGAGGGAGAGAATGAGGAGAAGGAAAGGAAACAGGACCCAATGGGTGATTTCAGTTTGGCCAACATCTCTCTCAGCCACAGTGGCTGTGTGCATGCAGGGGCCTCGAACACAACCCACACTCCGCTCCACACAGCACCTGGAGGGGTCTGAGATGCTAAGCCAGTCTACACTTTTAAAGGCTTCTTCAGATAAAAAAATAATAAATCTTCCTCAGATAATAAAAAATATTTCCCAAATCCTATAAAAGAAGAAGACGACTTGACAGAATCTGTCTGAAAGAAAGGAGTTTTTGGTTTTCCTCCCCATTTCGAGAATTTGTGATTCTGATTCTCTGTGTCTGAATGTCCTCGCCTCCTCCCAGGTCTTTATTGTTGTGGTCTGTCCTTCAGTGGGTGTGGCTGGGATGCAGGCACTGGCATCACAAGTTAACCACAAAACGGGCCTGAAAACAGAAATTAACCAAAGCTGGTTTGCTTAAAAAATAGATGATAGGTAAATCGATATCAATTGATAGATGCCAAACGGATAGATATGCCTTAAGATATTAAATCCATGTTTTTAAAAATCCTAAATGTTTTTAATTCCAAGAAAAATTTTAAGTTAAACATGTAAGAGAAAAGAAATTTGGTGGAATGGCTGTATACACACTAAGGCAGTGGTTCTCAACCTTCCTAATGCCACGACCCTTTAACACAGTTCCTCATGTTGTGGTGACCCCCGACCATAACATTATTTTCGTTGCTACTTCATAACTGTAATGTTGCTACTGTTATGAATCGTAATGTAAATATCTGATATGCAGGGTGTATTTTCATTGTTACAAATTGAACATAATTAAAGCATAGTGATTAATCACGAAAACAATATGTAATTATATGTGTTTTCCGATGGTCTTAGGCAACCCCTGGAAAGGGTCGTTCGACCCCCAAAGGGGTCGTGACCCACAGGTTGAGAGCCGCTGCACTAAGGGGTCTGTTAAGAAGAAAAGGGGCCCTTCTGAGCTAATGTGTCTATCTCTGAGTCTTGTACATCCCTGGGCTCTGATCAGGATGCTTCGGTTGTGCCACATTGTTAATCTTCTTGTGCCCTGTGGTTTCATCTCTGTCTCAGACAGGCTCTGCTCTTTCCACACGAATGCCACTGGGCTGGTTGCTAGCAAAAGGTGCAGTGGGAGCAAGCAGGTTAATTTGAGGGCGTCCCAAACACAAACTCAGAGGAGCCGCCACTGGAAGAATAATAAGTGCTGTCAGCTGCTGGTAATGAGTTATGGTTGCAGCCCAAGCATCGGGTGGAGAGGGCTGTGTCCTGGACAGGGGAGTCAGTGCTACTGCAAAAACAACCCTTGTTGTCATAACCCAGCTAACATTTCCTGGGGAACTACTATGTATACATCCTATTCGTGTTGTCTCATGTACAACCACCCTATGATGTCAGTGTTGTAGCACCATCTCCATTTTACAGATAAAGAAACTGAGACTCCGATATTAAATAAGTTGCCCAAGGTCACACAGCGCAGAAGTGTTGGGTACGGGATTGACCCAGGCAGCCCGTTCCCCGAGGCACAGTAATGAATCCTATGGCTACATGGCTCCCTGGCACTGCCCCTGGTCCCAGCTCTGTCGTTAACCCAATAACATTGGTCAAATCACCGTTCTTCTATAGCAGGAGGGGGTGGGGTGGGGGACTAGATCATTTTTGTGTTCCCTTATGGCTCTGACATTCTAGAGTTTGATGAATTGTTTTACCTGCAGCTGGAACAAAGCAATGCTTGCCTTGGAGGAGAACCCAGCTGTGGTTGTGGCTATGGCCATGACTACTAACAGGCAAACAGCACCTCTCTGCCAATAGACTAAGACCTGGCAAACGAGTGCTTTGGACGGTCAGGTTGTGATGGAGATTGGGGGAGAGAGCATGGAGAAAGAACAGGGAAGTTTTAAAGGCCAGGATTCCATTCCTGAAGCAGCAAAGGAGACCATTCCCCCACACGCCTGCGGCCCCTGACTTTGCTTCCACATCACTCAACACTAACTTTTCCTCAAGTGTTCCTGGAAGTTTGAGAAGTTTCGTGGTTATGGAAGGTCTGAAGCTTAGGGTCACCATTTTGCCAAAGGGGAACCTCATTAGTCAGACTAGAGGGCAGAACGGAGTGATGAATGCAGACCACCGGGCTCCCCCTACCTACCATATCTTCAGCTCAAAGCCCTAACTTCCATGGGGCCAGAGCTCAGTTTATGCAACCAGGGGTCTTTCTAAATTAAAACCAAGACTGTTCTTTGTAGTGAAAATAAACAGGAACAACCTTTCAACTTCCAATAAAAATATAAAAGAATATACATGGGGGGGGAGGTAGCAATGGGGGGATAAGGACACATATGTAATACCTTAATCAATAAAAATTAAAAAAAGAATATACAATAGAACTACCAAAGAGGAAGTCATAGAAAACTATGAAACTAGGGGGGAAATGTTCTCAATATATACTTGCTTAAAAAATTGCAGGTTAGAAATCTTATTTTGAAAAAATATAATGATTTGTAAAATACTAGAAATATGACCCCTTGGTAATAGGACTATGAATAATTTTTATCTTCTTAATCTTTCTTTTTTATATTTCCTACAAAGGAGGACCTACTTTTTATGATAGATAATACAAAGTCACATGAATTGATTAGTAACAAAATTTTTCCTCTTAACATCTGCAAACACATTTGCTTATAATTCTCATAAATCTTAAGTCTTAAATTTATTTGTCATCAATGAAGTAAAAATAAAACCTTTGTCCAGTGGTTGTAGGCTACCTTCAGCCACAGCCTTAGCCAATGCTTCAAGAGCGAACACTGTCCCCTGCTCACTCAAGTCATCCTGTTGCCCTTCACGCTGGGCTTCCCCAATCATTTAGTACCTTTGAGCCCACGCAGGGTGCTCGGCGGAGCCCATGCAAAATCAAGGCAGACTCCCTGTCCTTCCCCACCGAAGGGCTCCCACAGTCTGTGAGGTCCTCTCAGAGCTGATAACACTCTTGTTTTAACACATAGGTTATTGGGGGAGGGGAGAGTGATCAAATGAAGTGAAAATCACTCCTGTCCAAAGAAAGGATGACTTATTCAAGTTCTCATGGGCCTAAACCATGGCTCCTCTCAGAGGGGGCCTCCTCTCTTTGTGGCTCTGGGCCTGTGGCTCTGGCTGAGATTCAGGGATTGGCTTAGTGGACATATTTGTGTCAAGGTCTGGCAGTTTTAGTGGTAGCAAGCCCAGAGACCCTCAGCCCAGGGCAGTGTCTGGTAACAGGGCTGAAAGGGTCAGGGCATGTGCTGACGGCCAGGACAGCTGAGGGGGACAACAGGAGGGATGTTTTCTTTGGTCACTCAGGTGTAAACTCCAAGATGGCTGGGTGCTCCCCACTGTATTCCCAGCATGTAGCTCAGCGTCTGCTCTGTGATCGGAAATCAACAAATAATTATTGATGAATGAATAGAAGAAACTAGGGGTTAAAGAAGGTGACCAATAAATATTAGTATAGATTTTTAGACTTGATTCCTTCCCCCCTCCCAAAAAAGTGATTGACTTTATATATGTTTAACATCAGAAAAAAAATCTTAATTAGTAAAAATTGAAAAGATGTTTTCTATTTCCTATCTCTGTCCTCTGTTATGTTCTTAAAACGT